CCCCAAGTCAGCTTCTGCTGAAACTGACCAGCGCTGACTACAGGAAGCCCCAGGCAGAGTTGCTCTGCCCCGGGCTTCCTGGAATCAGCTGCTGATCAGTTTCAGCAGCAGCTGACTTGGGGACGCCTGGGGTTCTTAAGTTGATTCTGTATGTAAGTCAGAACTGGCGGTCAGTTTCAGCAGTGTCTGAATCTGGACGCCAGTTCCGACTTACATACAGATTCAACTTAAGAACAAACCTACAGTCCCTATCTTGTACATAACCCGGGGACTGCCTGTATTGCTGTGGGAGTTCTGTACACTAGCATGTGCACATAAGTCATGTGCCATGAATATTTTTTCTCTCTTTAGTTTTTCAGAAAATAGCTTCTGCTGGAAAGTTGTAGCATTTCCTCCTTTTGCCTACCAGAGGGAGCTGTAGTAATATTGTGTGCAGAATTTTTATTTTTTTGGCAAACATGTTTAATTTTTTATGTAGAATTCACCCAGGAGAATGTGGATAAATCATACCACTTCACAGCTGTACTTGGCTAAATGTGACCAAATGTAAAAATAGCAAAAAGAGACCCAATACTTTTTGCGGACAGAAAGGTATTGATCTGTTGTCCCTGAGGTATCATAGAATCATAGAATCACAGGGTTGGAAGAGACCTCAGAAGGTTATCAAGTCCAGCCCCCTATCCAAAGCAGGACCAACCCTAACTAAATCAATAGGTAGTTCACCATAATCACCTGCCCTATACAAAAATCAGCACTTATATCTGATTACCAAGTCTTATAAAAAAGCATTTCCTGATAAAACTGTAAGTTTAGCTACTTTACCGAACAGGCATGTACTGAATTTCTACACTACCTCTTTCTGCACACAACTTAGCCATTCCCAAACATATGGGCTGCAGATAAGAAGCCCCCAAAATCAGATTACTCATGATTTTCCTGTCAGTCACTATTCTCTGTGGTCCTGGGGATTTCCCATTTGTGAACATACAACTTCAGTGTAACTTGTTTGTCCTGTAGACCCACATTTCATGATGGCTCTGGAGGACCACAGAAGTTCTTCAGAATGTTAGGGAATGGGTTTAACAAATTGCTTATTTGGGTAATTTTCAAATTTAGCGGTGCAAAGAATACATACATGCCTAAATATGGGCTTAACTGACAATAACAATGGACCAAAAAAAAAGGTATCTTAGCAGTTCCATTACAATGTAACATTATGGTATAAAGAGAGGCCAGTGCTTTTGGAAGAGTCATTCTGGTATTTTTCATAAGCAATCCTTACTCATTATCTATTATTAATTCACATTTTTCTTTATGAAGAATTTTTGTGAAGTAAAATGGGAAATTTACTTTCCATAAATTATACTCTGTTGATGGTTTTTCCCGCTGTGCTGACAGAAATCTACATTATTTGTTTTCATTGTTTTTATTTTAGAAGTATGTTGGCAATGTAGCACTATTAAGTGCTTCCATAAGTTATGAAGGGACTAATATGGAAGGATGAAGGCAGTTGTGGTTGTTGGTTGTACAGTACATCTTCAGGGATCTGACTCTGGTATAGTTAAAGATCGCTTCAGATTTCAAATTAATCTGAATGACCCCAGCTTTACTGCTGTTGTACTTCTAGAAATGATAAAATGGCAGGTTACTGAAAATAATAGGAGGTAGCCTAAACAATTTGAAATGAGTAATGCGGAGTTTGTTTGGCTCCATGCACTTTACAACCAGTCACAATATTTTGAAAAAGAAATTTTTTCTTAATGAATCTGAGTGCTATTCAGATCACAAAAAATATATCCAATAGTGAAAGGGGGAGGCAATTCAGTCTCTTGTGTTCCTTTGTTTTATGATTGATAAAATTGAGGATGTACAGAGCAATGCTGCAATAATGATTTCTGTGATATTCACCGTAAATATTTGGGGAAGACTCAGAGTGAAAGCTAAGTGGGAGCACAATAAATAAAAACATACTAGTCTATGTCAAGTTTCCTTTTTTTTTTTAGGAATAACTTTCTTCATGGTGCTCAAACATACTCTCAAATCTCAGTAACTAATAACAGGATTTGTGATTACACCTCTTGTACACCACTTCAAAAAATTATTTCTTAATGTAAGTCACCGAGGCACCACGAAGAAATAGCTGAGCCTAGTCTGACTTGACATTTCTTG